CAGGTTGTAGTGTAAGGGCAGGAAAACCCCTCCTCAGGTTAAAGCTTCTTTACCACTCCTTTTAGTGTAACTCTAGCGTGTCTTCCATTCATACCGTACCACGTGTTCTACTGTAATGTATTTCCAGAGCAGATGATTACGACTGTCAGCGACCGATCGATGGGCGGAGCGCGCAAGCACGAGCCAACGGAGGAGATCGGAGGATGTGACGAAGCCGACCGGTCGCAGTACTCACGCAGCACTCATCTATCGTTTTCCTGTTTCATGTAGCAATAGCCTTCCTGACGTGTATTCCTGTTATCGTGATCTCGTTGTGCCTTTTTGTAGTAGTACTTGTACGTGGATATGAAGTTTCTAAGGAATTGATGTGTTTTGTATAGGCATGCCTGAGGCCTTGTGGATACTGATAAGGGACGAGTGAAAGAGGACATTCGGACCCTTTACTTCATGGTGGAAACGGAATTCGCTTACTCACTTAGCTGCTCATACTGCGCTGTTTTGATCGAATCGTAATAGATGGAGCAACCCACGCACGAGCTCACGTCCAGCTGCCACGCGAGCAGCTTGCTGCGTGCTCCTACTCAAGCGTGCGCTACGCACCCCTACCGTGCCCCTTCACCCGACCCCCTTTCCCCGGTCTTCCTCACCTGCATGTTCTCAGTCCCGGCAGAGCACGCAGGACTGGGAAGCAGGAGCAGAGGTTACATGCCATTCCCTCCCGTTCCACCCGACCCGGCCCCGTACTACCACACACCCAGCTGCCACGCAGCTTGTGCAGTAACTTGGAGTGTACTAAATGGTTTTCTTATATAGTTGAGGGTATTATCACAATCAAACCAACATCTTAGTTTGTTACTTTATTATGGATTAGCTTGCACTTTTGCTAGCGGTTGTATCCTCTTCTCTTGCTGCGTGCACTCAAGCGCATACACATACCCCTTCCTCCGCCCACCGTACCCTTTCACTCACCCTCTTCCTCCTGCCTCCGTCCCTGCACGTGGTCGTCTGGCTGAGCAGGGGAAGGAAGCAGAGGGGGGAGCACTTGATACTCCCCACCTCAACTCCACCTGCCCCCGCCTGAGTACACGCCAAGCTGCCACGCCAGCAGCTCGTGCAATGGCTCGGAGTGTACCGAATGGTTGTCTTATATAGCGGAGGCTGTTATCACAATCAAAACATTGGATTGATACATCTGCACCAATCAGTTCTTGGTTTGTCTAGCGGTCGTTTTCTCACAACACTAACGTGTTCGAGCCCGAGAAACATTTTGCGGACTGCAATTAGCCCATCATCAACTTCTTAACGTCATTGTTTGAGAATGGAATTCAGCTCACTTCGAGAGAAACCGTGGTGGGTGAATGACCAGTTCCGCCTAACGGGTTATTCCTTCGTAACATTCAAGTGGGGGCAATTGCCTCCACGACACCGGTGGTGTTTTTTACGGGACCGATAGTCCGAATTACGACGTTGACGTTTTCCCCTCCTTTTTCCTCTTCATTTGTTTTGTAACAATACATCACTCTACAACTCCACTTAACATTTATCACTCTATTTCATAAAGCAGAAGTTTTGTGTGTCGGTTTGTCGGTCTGTAGGTATGTATGTATGTATGTTTGTCCGTCCGCAAAATGCTTCACGGGATTCAACATGTAACTGAAAGGAGAAAACGACCGCTAGCCAATCCGGAAACCTTTCGGTGCAGATGTATCAATCCAATGTTTTGATTGCGATAACTCCACTATATAAGACAACCACTTAGTGCACTCCGAGCCATTGCACGGGCTGCTCGCGTGGCAGCTGGACGTGAGCACCTGCAGTGGACAGGGTAGGGAAGGGCAGGGGTTAGGGGGCATGGGGAAGAAGGTAGGGCGAGGGGGGGGGCGAGAAAGGGTTGTGGCGGGGGAATGGGGAGGTAGGGAGGGGGGAACGCAGAGTGTGCTTCAAGGAGCACACCATAACGGTGGAAACAGAAGCATTAGTGAAAGCGACAAATAGAAGAAAGGGAAGGATCAACCGCTGGCAAGGTTGCAAGGCAATCCATAATGTGCTATCAAGTGGTATTTCTGAGGTGAGGACACCTTGTACTGTATAAGACGACGATTTGGTGTGTTCTGAGCCACTGGACGTACTGCTCGCGTGGCAGCTAGACGTGAGTGCAGAGAATCAGGATAGGGAAGGGATTGAGGCCTTCGGGGAGGGGTTAGGGTTGGTGGGGTACGATTGGGAAGACACCGCAACGGTGGAAGCAGAAGCAGGAAGGATCAACCACTGGCAGAGTTGTGAACGAATTCATGCCGTGGTATCAACTGGAAGTAATGTTTTGAATGTTATATCACATAAGACGAACATTTGCGTATTGCGAGCCATCACGCGGACTGCTCACGGGGCAGCCTGACGTGAGCGCGTGCAGTCTATCAGTGTAGGGTTATGGGTTGGGGCATTGGGGTGGGGTGCGGTCGGTGGGGATACGACTGGGAAGCGTAGTGCACGCTTTAACAAGAGCACACCGCTACTTTAGTGAAAGCGAAGTTGGTGGGTTGAAGAAAGGAAGGAACCCACCGCTAGCAGAGTCGCGAACCAATTTATGTCGTGGTATCAATTTGAGGTAGTGTTTTGAATGTGATATCACCCTTTTACTTTCGAACTTTTAATTACTGATGAAAACAATAATACTGGAGAAGGAATTATGTTACAACTAACGTACGTAGCCGGAATATTAGCATCTGCAATCTTTATGCGACGTAATCGAATGGATTGCATAATAGAAAAGGAAAGCGCTGATCGGTAGGCGTTCCGATGCAGATAGGAAGCGTTTTCCATCATAAACCGAGGCCAGCTAGGCGAAGCCGGGCTAAAGAGAAGGAGGAGAGCTCGGCGTAAGCCGGGCGATACGACTGGTTATTAATAAAAAACTAACAGTGACACATTGAAACTTTTTAACTTCATTGAACTGAAACTTCAAACAACAACTGAAACAGTAATTCTAGAAAACCACTACGAAACAGAATTCAGAACCTATTAATACAGGCCATCCTTCTTATTTCATATGATCGCAACTGATACATAATATGAATAAGCTTGGTCAACAATAACGGGCACTCTATCTTTGACTGAACTGCTTTATCATTCATCTTGACTTTCGACTGCGACCTCACATCTGCTCATTTTTGAGAGAAAACTTTCTTCTCTATGCGCTTCCCTTTTACGTCCTACACCACGATCCTACAACGTATTTATTTAATGTCATTGCATAGTCTGAATACTCGAGTTTATACACTCACCGCATTCGTGGATTTTTCAATCTTGGAATTCCGATCTCCTTGTGCCAATAAGGAAGACTTTGAGAGACTACCACCCCGGCATTTTTCCTTCCTAAATCACAGCTCTAAACTTATTCTCTAAATTTATATCATAACACTTATAGCAACCTATTCCCACGTCCCCCACCCCATGTCCTTTAATTCAGCTGAATTAAAGGACATGGGGTGGGGTTAATAACTTTCTTATATCAGTTCCCGTCCAATCTGAATATGAAAGCCCCAATTTCACCGCAAAAATAGGAGATTTGAACTTCTAAAAAGCGAAATGGTCATAACATTCCAACACGTTATGTGCTTCCTTACACTAATAGTATCTTTATAAAATATATTATTAGTTTCAATAAATACTTACGTTGGTATTCCCGTATAGATATGAAAGCGTTTTTGACCGAAATATCAGGAACACTAATGCTGTTGTCGGTGCAATATTGCCTAATCCTCTTGCGGAGATACAAGTTAAAATTTACATTAAGGATTGAATTTTTAGAAATAACTATAAGGCATTATTCAACAGCTAATACCTTTATAATAGAAAAATGTACAGCAGTAACTATAAGATATTATATAACAGTTGCAACCTTAAACTCTTCAGGTCTCCCACTCGAATCGTTTGTCCACGGATGAGACGTACATTTGAGTTATGTTTTCTGTTATGATCATATAAATGTCTTTTCCCTTTTTCCAGGTAGTGTTCCCAAAAAAAGCCAGACATTTCGACCTTAATCAACTTTGTAAGTGGGTTAGATCCTCCATAAGCATCCTCCACAAGTACCTTGAAACCAGATGCCTCCGAATTGCTTCCTCCACTGTTTATCCAACCTAATGGATTAGGATCATTTTCTATATCATATCTTAAAAAAGCCTCACTAAGTTTATTACTACGATTAGAAATACCAATCCAAAACTGACCTATACTAAAGGCAATCCTATGTATAAAACTGTACATTCATTTGACTATTTCTATTGAAAAAGATCCCTCACTTGACTATCTTCAGGAATTTTTTGGTTAGTTCTTTCAAAGTCAATCCATCATTGCTTGGTATGTTCAGGATACGAACGTTTTTTGATATAACTGGACGATTTATCATATCCTGCTGGCTTTCCAACCTTTTCTGTTGATCCTGATTCGGATAGTCAAAACCAGTCTGTGTTACGTTTTTAAAATTTTACATAAAAAGAAATAATAAAAATAACAAACAAAAATAACAAACATTAAAAAATTTTACATCTTTCAAACCACTTAGTGTAACATTTCCTAGGCTATTTCTTCAATGTCCCTTTTAAGGTCTTACATCTTCGATCGAACGCGCGGACATGTTAAGCGGAAAAAATTAACAACGAGCAACTCTGGGTTACCAACACAAAGGTAAGACCGTTCTGTAATTCACAAGGGTAAACGAAAAATATAGTTTGTCAGACTCCGCTTTTATAGCATACCCTTTACTTCACCTTCTGATTTTACTTAAACTTTGCATTTCACTTTAATAGGCAATCAGTAGGCAACTGCAGAATGGGACTCACCTCTAGTATATTCAAAGTAACTCGAAATGAGAATTTAATTGAATCGATCGACACCTTTGAGATAGTAAATCAAAACTATCAGTGCTAAAATTAAATACTAGTTCATATGAATAATTACATTTTCTTAAAAGAGATGAATCATACCATTACCAACGATTTCAATATAGTTAATGTAGTCAATATAGCTACTAAACGTAAATCATACAAAACAATAAAAAGAAATCACCATCTATGCTAACTATATCATTGATTACTTTTTATAAATGAAACCCAAACAGCGTAGTTTAGAACTCCTAACATGAACAGGAACAAGCTTATTCAAACTCTCGTCAGTATAATTAACTTCAAAATTAATATACCTGAATGTCTACGTAATAGCTTGAGTGACTGAAGGCGATATGACAAAAAGGTAATTCCACTAATTCATGTCGATGACCATCAATATTCAACTGTGACTGAGCAACTTGGCCTGAAATAATACTGTAAGAACTAACATTAATATTTGAAAAATAATGGGAAAGACTAAGTTGTACGTGATTACACTTGAAGCTACCAAGACGTACTATAATTTATTGAACATATAGCCAGACAAAATGTCATATATACTGACTCTAATATCGATTACTTTTCATTAATGACATCTAAACACTATGCAGTTTAGATTGACTTATTCCAGTCCTGTTAGCAAGGACAGGAATAATTCAATTTAAACTATTTTTAGTATACCTAATTCTTAAAATTTATTTACTTGTATGCTTAGAGATTGGCTCGGAGAATTATAACAGAATCAAACATAAATTGACAAAAAAGTGCTTCTAATAAGTCAACCCCCATTAATATCCAAACATGATTCAGCAACTCGGCCTGAAACAAGAATAATAATAATAATTTAGAATATCGATAACAAAAAAAGAATGGGAACAACAAAATAATGCGCGGATACACCTGAATTCGCTTATTAAAACCATGGTCTAGTGGACTCAACTTATGGCCACTGTGGGTTTTGCTAACTACGTAATCCTGCTGTACAGAGTGTATCCGCGCTCTCTATGTTGCGAAATCAGACCAAGGACACCAATGTGTTCCAATGATTGCCTAGTACTATAACAACTGTCAAGACGGAACATGTAGCAGGCTGCTACGAAATTAGGTCATGGATGTCTAAGTACTTACATAGTGGTCGGCACGTGGAAATGTTTTAATCACTGGGTAGAACTTCAACAACGTGCAATTAGAATCTTCTCGTAACCAGCTCTGAAGTGGGTCATTGGTAGATTTTTAGTAAGAAACAAGATAATAATGATTTTACGACGATTTACAGGAACGGATGATGCAGGATGTGTTCTATGGGATGCACAAAAGATTGAAACATCGCAATAATGTAATTTTAGATGATTAGTAGAGAGTCATTATGGGTTCTTCAAAGGGCATAAATGTGTGATGTCGAAGCAACGGGTACAGATGCACTTGATATTGTGCAATCACACCTAGTAGTCATACTACTTATTAGACGACATAATCATAAAAACAAGCCTTAACAAAGTGAACCGTCCAACTATAGTTTCCATATTTCAAGAAAGGTCAACTATAGTTTTCCAAAATTATAGTTGACATTTCTTGAAATATGGAAAGGAGTAATTGAATACAACTATGAAGTTCAGGCTTACCACTCCACTATAATAACCCAAATATGCGAGTTTAAGAAACTCGTAGTGAATGCTGGAGACGTTCCAAGTTTACATGTCTCCATAGGTTCTTTCAATGTTCTCCGTCAACATTCAAAATATAGCATTGTTTAATAATGACTACGTGGCTAGTTTAGTTCTAGCAACTTCAAGCTACAGTTAATGTAAGGAAGATCGGAAATGAGCGTTGAAAGTTTATTAGTACTAACATACAAATGACGGTACTATAGAATAGAGAGTGGTACAACAGCACAGAGCTATGTATATGGATAATCTAGGTTACCAACTCCTGAAAAAAATTAAATTGACTGAAATGATGGTAATAAGCTATCACAAGAATGCTGAGTTATGGGCAAAAGTCGGACCACGGGCGGGATTCGAACCCGCATCTTCCGCTTTCCGTGCGAATGCGTTCCCTATTACGCTACCGAGGCCACCTTTGACCACTCAGCTCAATGGCTATTTGTGCCATAACCTTACAGCACTCACACGTTCAACGTGATGAGCCGGTTAGCCGATATCGGCAGTGAACCGCAAGGCTGAAGGCTTTTTACAAGTTTCAAGCTGTTATTGTTTAGTAACTGCTGTTTAACGCCGCAGTGCGCGATCCGAAAGCTATCACAAGAATGCTGAGTTATGGGCAAAAGGGTAACTACGGCGGCATTCGAACCCGCCATCTTCTGCTTACCGGGCAGTTGCGTTACCACTTACGCTACCGGGGCCACCTTTGACCACTCAGCTCAATGGCTATTTGTGCCATAGCCTTACAGCACTCACACGTTCAACGTGATGAGCCGCGACCTCGGCCCACCTTCTGCACGGCAACGCCCGACCCCACATAGCAAAGGAGACCCGGGAAAAACTGGAGGAGCTGGGCTGGAAAGCTGTCCCTCACCCTCCCTGCAGGTGGGGTTAGCCTGCCCCGAGGTAATGTCAGGGAACTGAGAGAAATGTATGAATTGGATAGAATGGGCATCGTGGCGCAATACCAAGTAGCACGACAATGCCACATGCAAGCATTTAAACAACTACTCGAAACGCATACGCATTGAGAACGGTGTAACAACTGCCCCGTTCCCCCTCAAGTTTATGTTTTTTTTTAGAATTTTTTGATATTTAATTGCAAACAACATAGTAGACCTAGAGAGCAACTGAAACGTAGCCCTTCCAAGACTGAGCTTTCTTCACAAATTTCATAACCAACACGAGACCAAAAAGACTGGTACATGAAAATACTATTAGGTCGTTCGGAAAGGAATGCGCGTTGACTTTGTCTATTTATTTCTCTTCTACTATAGGAGATTTTTCAAAACAGTTTTGTCCATTAGAGAGAGGTTTTTATTGCGCATCTTTTGATATATTTTTTCTATGTCTACCTTGTTTTTTTAGAGAAAAAAAAGTTTAGAAAATGCTCGACAAAAATTTCGAATGCGACAAAGGCATATCGGGAAGCACAAAACTACTCGGAGTAGCCTACAATACTGAGGATGACGAACTTCTCCTCAAAGTGACATTGTCACCAAAACAACATATGACCAAAAGAGAACTCGTTAGTGCAGTCCATAAATTATACGATCCTCTTGGCCTAGCACTACCCTTAACACTGAAGGCAAAACTGCTTATGAGAGAAGTAGTTATGCTTAAAACAGCCTGGGGAAAATCACTCAGCCAAGAACACATCAACAGATGGAACGAAATCTGTACCGAAATATCTGGCGTTTTCATCAAGGTCTCGCGCAATATCGGTCCAGTAGCCACCGGAGAAGAAGGCTCAACCCTTTGGATATTCGGTGATGCAAGTCAGCTAGCAATATCGTGCTGCAGTTATGTGACTCATCCTCCCGACAATCAAACGAAGGGGGTACTGTGGCACGGCAACAAGGCTGGCTCCTATGGAAAGATAACTCTCTATCCCCAGGCTAGAACTTCTTGCCATTCTAGTATCACTTCGACTGGCACGAACCATACTCCAGTCCTACCAAAGCCGCATACGCAACGTTCACATAGTGAGCGATAGCAAAATAGCTCTAGCCTGGACACAGACGTCTAGAAAGCTTCCTCTTTTCGTAGCTAACCAGGTCGACAGAATTAAAAAGCTACGTCATCTCATTCAAGAATACGGAACCTCACTAACACTCAGTTATATCGAATCTGAAAAGAACCCTGCTGATATTGCCACTCCGACCAGTTGCCAGACAACCATTCGAGGCCAGTGACTGGATTACAGGACCTCAATGGTTCAAGCTCCAACAAGCCCACTGGCCAATAGACTCATCATGGGAACAGACCCCGACCTCACAAGACAAAGACCAAGAAGAAACTAGCAGCGCGCCGCTGTGCGCACCTGCCATACAAACATCGAAACAAGCAGCCAATAATCTAATCGATCTATCACGCTTCCGATACTACTCGCGAGCGTTAAGCACATTGGCAAGGCGCAATGAAGGCGCTGTCACGGTGGATCGCGAGGGTCAATAAGCAAAACAACAGAAACATCGCACCATGCCTGCTGCGACAAGTTCTCAACACACAATGAACTTACGGCCGCGGAAGTGAAGACAGCGGAACACATGCTTATACATGAACGAACACGAAACAGCGACATAAACGAGCTCCGCTCGAAATACACAGACAAAAACCTATTCTACGATGAAAATCGGCTAATCAGAGCCAAATCGCGGCTTATTAACTCAGCATTACCGCGCGACACAAGGGAACCCATCTTCATTCCAAGTGACTCAGAGCTGGTGCGTCTTATTGTAAGAGAATTGCACGAAACAAACATGCATTGTGGCCGACAGCACACGTTATCGCTTCTAAGAATGCGATTTTGGGTACCTAAGCCGTCATCGAAAATTCGCAAAATCCTCAGCGAGTGCACGGTATGTAAAAAAGAGCAGGGGTTACCATTTCCCTACCCAGCGACACCTCCGCTACCGAAAGACCGTGTCATTAAATCCAAGCCATTTGAACATGTCGGCTGCGACTACATAGGACCTTTCAACACAGATAACGATGAGAAAGCATACATCGCTCTGTACACATGTTTATCGACAGGAGCTCCATCTAGAACCGGTTGATAACCTTTCCGCTTCGGCATTTCTAGACAGTTTCTTACGCTTCATCAGCCGAAGAGGTGTACCCATGCTAATGCGATCAGATTGTGGGAGCAACTTCGTTCTTGGTGCTAAGGTATTAGATCTTCTCTTTCAAAAAGATCAAGAGGGGAGATCAGTTATGGCATATTCGGCTACAAGAAACATAAAATGGATATTCAACCCACCCGCAGCACCATGGATGGGAGGTGTATGGGAACGCATTGTAGGAACCGTCAAAAAATGCCTCTCGAAGACTATAGGGCGCAAAAGACTATCGTACACGAAATTCACAACAGTCCTAGCCTGCATTGAAGCAGTTGTCAACACTGACACTGACATTCCGCCGTCCACTGACAAAGGTGGACCCTGAAGACCTCACATCTATCCCATTGCGACCCGTAGACTTTCTACAGGGGAATGTCAAGTTTTCACTCCCTGAGAGCAAAGACATAGATGAACAAAGCGACCCCAATTACGAAGAGAATTCAATCGCCACGATGCAGCAAGCTAGGGAAGCAATAGAATTTGCTCAAGAAATGGCGAATCACTTCTGGAAAAGGTGGCAAAAAGAGTATTTGACAGAACTAAGAGATGTTCACAAAACGCTTATGAAGCAACGCAGACATATCTCGCGTGCGCTCCCTGAAGTGGAGAAATAGTGCTTATACAACAAGACGGGCTAGTACCCCGCAGCAATTGGCCGCTCCCGTAACAGACCTGGTAATAAGCGGTGATGGGTTAGTTCTCTCAGCGAAGGTACTAACACCCTCGGGCAAATCTGCCACCGACCAGTCACGAAAGCTCATACCACTCAAAATCCGTAGCTCAATGGATGGCTCAAAGACCGTTGAAGCTCCACACAGGAACGCCAACCAATCTCCCATAGAACAGCGAACATCCCCTTTCCAAGAAAGGCAAAGCAAAACATCACCTACTATGATACGCAAAACGAGTCTGAAGAGTCTTCGTACTCACAACACCGTACCACTAGCGGTAACTTCTTTTCGAAGTTAGTTCTCTATCCTTTCATACTACTGGCATTGATTCCGGCTGTGTTTACCACACACATTTATTGCCAAAACGGTACGGTCATAGTCACTCCACCGTCACAGTTCCTATACTCTGTGCTTCAACAAGGCATGTCGGAACAGAACAACGAACCAAACATCTACCTTTGCACTTCCACCATCCGCACACGAAGAGAAAGTGAAGGTTACACTGCTAAGTCGCAGAACAGGAGCTGACTTCAGTCATAGCAGAATGTGCGATCGACAGGCCTTTTGTGCCGACAAAACCCTTTTACGACATCTCTATTGGGGAACCCCCACTGTTGGCCTGAAGGTGCCATCCTAACCGCTATATCTCTTGCCGCAGTTATAGTATTACTGGCGCTTCTCCTTGGCATACTGATCAGGAACAAATGGTCCCAACTAAGACAATCTATAAGCCACCATCAGCCCACCCTAAGAACGCAGGAAGACAAAGGAACACCATTCACCCTAAGACACCTGAAACCGTCAACCTTTGTCACAGGAGCGCTAGTAGTGCTGACTATCTGCACCGCGCAAATCAATTCTTGCCAACACTTTCACGCTCATTATAACGCCGAGCTCATATGTGACGACTCGAACAAATGTACCGTCGAGTATGAACAAGAGCTGTTCTTCAATAAACTTCATCGGAAAGTCTGCATCATGCTTCGGTATCACAATAACACAGTGGGCAATCTCAAACTCACTCTCCAACGGACGCGTCGAATCTGCAACAAAGAAACGTTGTTCTTCACTCGAAACACAGCTGCGAAGGTGTATTACGAGAGACGGTGCCCATTTATGGCATTGAAGATAAATGCAGGACTCTGCAGCCAAACGACAGCATCTTAGAACTTACATGAGGCAGAAAAATTCCCAGGGTACTCCATGTGCACCTCAACATGCACCGGATTAACCTGTGGCTGTCTAACACCCTTCCCGGCAGACGCCTACCCGGGATGCCTATTCTATCGAGTTGCACAAGTACCACAGGAATGACGAGGTGTATCACATGTTTAAGTGTAGCCCTGGAACCCCGAAGTCCACCTGATAGTCCACCTGATGTGATACACATTAGAGACAACTCATAAGGAAATCGCAGCAAACGAGTCTTTGCAACTACATCCTTATGTCTCAAAGAAGGTGGGCGGTTGGGACATCAAAATAACGTCCCTACAAAACAAGCAAGACAGCGCTCTCAACAAGCGTTACACAGAATCCGCAGCGGGATTCCGCCGTCGAATGCCCAGATGAGAGCACTGCCAGCAAAGATTTCAGCAGGTGCTCCAACGAGGTAATCTGCACCTGCAGTCATACAAGGAGTAGAGTACAGTGCATTTGTCCACAATACAGCTTGAAGGACTCGCAAAACTCTATCACCACTCTACCAATCATAGCGTCGCACCTCAACATTACTGCCTCCGACACAGTAATAATTGATACACACGACGCCGAGATATCATTACTCATCACATCAAAAAAGCAGATTCAAAGGTAATAGACCCTCCCTGTACTTCACACGCAACAGCTCTAACCGGCTGCTACAGTTGTCTTGAAGCCGCAAAATCTACAGTACACTGTTATTCAGAGAAAACCACCGAAATAACCCTTGAGTGTACAGATCAAACTTTCCTAATCAAGTGTTCAAAATACACTTTAGCCAATGTCATAATGCTACAATACGATCATGCAAATGTAAAAGATGTGCTCATATCAGAGCGCAGGGAAACTCTCCAAGATCACTTTGATAGGCACACTTTTATACCATACGCCCACGCTAGACCACGAAATATTCGGCGAAGGTAAACAAACAACCGCAAGCAACACAGCCTGGTGGAGCAACATTTCGTTGCCAGACATAGGTCCGCTTGCGGCCACAATTACCAAACACTGGAAAACAACCGTCGCAGTTATCTGTAGCTTCACAGTAATCGGACTGCTCACATATTTCCTCGGACCAACAGTCATAATCACTATTGTTCATTTACTCGTCAAATTCTCCTCGCGATGGCTGAGACACTCTTCGCATGTCTCACAAGCCTATTCTCTCTTCTGCGGCGGTACCGTAATGACTAACAGTCACACCCTCGCTCTTGGCTCCCGCCAGCGCATGTCAAAAAAAAACAAAGCACAGCAATCTCGCTCTCATCGTTCGTTCCTAAATGTTAGTCGACGACAACTCTCCTCGCAATCATGCCGAAGCTGCCAGCTGCGGTGCCCGATCCAACCAACAAAGAAGACGCACCTGCAGACACGCCAGGCCTGGCGGCAGCCAACCACCCCGATACCTTTGAGGTCTCCACTCGTCTTACCTTGAATTTGCTCAAGTTCGATATTCAAGAAATCAAGAACAAAACGTTTCGCCCTGAAACTCAGATCGACTCCTTATTACCAACCCTGCACCTCGCCATCAGCGCACTTTCTGCGAATGAGGACGGCCATAGATCCTCCATCTGTTCGGTATTCCCCGACACTATCTCCAGATCATTCCGTCTACGAGACCTCAACAAGTGCATTTCCTGCTTGGCCCCCGCACACGGGCAGTGTTCGAACAAGTGTCGTTCCTGTGGAGGCACTCACCATGTTATTCTCTGCGCGGAACGAACAAAGCAAGGACCATCTCATAAACGTCAAAAGCTCGAGCACTGATGCGTTCATCCCATTGCAGGTTGGCTTCCTTCGCCACATTCATTGTTCTAGTACGCCTTGTAAAGCTTGCTTTCAGGTTTCAGCATTACAGAAAAGAAGAACTCTCATGCCGATCTGATCTGACTTTGTCATGACTGCATTTGCAAGCAATCCATTCCAGTGATGATGGACATGTTTTTTTTCTCAGTCACCGTAACCTAGTTTTAATTTCACTTTCATTTTATTGCAAAACCTATGTTGTGTTGTTGCCTTTGCGTACATTTCTGCCGCAGTTTTTTCCACCCTTTTTGCTCTCTTTATACAGCCCGCTTTCTTTGTTTACCCGCCCCATACCACTGTACCCCATATTTCCTTCACACTTACCGTGTAAGCGCAAAATTACAGCTCACACCTTACGGGGTCAATCATAAGACCGAGCAAGCCGTAAACAGAGGGCGCACAGTCCAAAAATCTCGGTGATGATCCCTATTATATGGTATGTCATGTATTACTTGCTTTTCGGCCAGCACACCGGCTCATTAATACCGCTCAAGATATCGTCAGCGCATAAGGGGAGCCGAGAAGGACCAGGCGGCCTAATTATCCACGACTTACTCGGTAAAAACCACAAAATCAAAATGGCAAAAGTGAGCATTATTTTGCGTATCTCACCACTTAACATTCTTGAGTTATCTCACATTTAAACTTCAATCGCTTCATCGCTTTATTGTATGCCCCGGGAGTGTTGCGGTATGCACCTGCAACCGCAACGCTCTTTACCGTATTCCAAGGCAGAGCGCTCGCTGGACAGTGGGAGGGGCTGCACTTTTGTAAGGCTAGCCGGACGCCAGTCGGCTGACCCAGGAGCGCCCGGAGTAGTGAACGGACCGGCGAGAGCTCTGCCAACCGCCGCTTACACGATTTACCCAATACTACGAGAATAAATAGCTTGATCAGCTTCCTTTGTTAGAAAGAAGAGGAAGAAGGGCCGTGACAAGCCTCTCGGTTTTTCCCCCTTCATTCTACTATTTTCAGGTACACTCTTTTGGGATTAAGATAAGATCCCGTCCAAGACGCCCCCAGCGCTGGCTGTCCCTCCGGGAACACATAGGGAGCGCTAAATCTTGGGAGATCCCTACCTGCGTATGGGTTGGACCACTCATGCGCTCAGATTATAGGTCAAAAAACAGCGATACAAATCACTATGTCAAACAGGGATTCCACCGGGTTAGGGGAGAGGCAAACTGTTACGTTCTCCAAGACTTTGGAAATGAAAATAAGGGTTGTATGTGTAGAACTGAGTGTACTATTTGTAGTATTATTGACAAAAACCACTACATTAGCTCGCAAAGTTACCAAACTGAAACTAATAGTTACAAAGATATAAACACTAACTGTTATAATAGCTGCCTTAAAAACCTTACTGACCAGGAACTAGAGAACATGATGTGTAAAGAATGTATATGTGAAACAGATAACGTCCGAGACTTTATAGATAATGATTATGGTCATGTTGCAACCGGAAATCTGAATATTATTAAAGAAAAGGTACTAAGGGATCTGTTAGGTAAGGAACTAAATATAGAATAGACCGCGGTATTTCTAGAGCTAAGATCCATAAAGCTTATTATGATGTAATAGAACAAAGTACAAAGTTTTAAAAAAATAAGTATAAAGCTAATAATGATAAAATTGAAATAATTAAAGAATACTTACATGCAAGTTATCATAGTAAAGTTAAACCTCTTTTGACATACAGGAAAAATCAGTGGCAACTTTGACCTTGTACCTACTAATATAATTGAGAAATACCAGGCCATTATATTTTTTGCCCTCTGGATGCCAGTAATAATTATGGCATTATATGCAAAAAACTTTATCTAACCAATTTAATAAAGGGAAATGGGCATCACATACAATTGTAATTATCGATGTTTTGAATATAGCCATACTAATAATACATACAAGTTGATACCTGGCAACAATAAAAACTTCTATGTATCGAAACATAGGGCAACCTGTGTTGATAACAACATCAAAATTAATGAGACTGCATGCTCGCCGATAATATATAGTGTAGTTCGCTGCGGACGGTTGGGCGTGTCAGTGCGGCTGCGTTTGGCGCGGTGCCAAACTCGTTCTCCACCAGTTGTTGAAGCGGGCAAGTGACAATACTGTATCATATCCTTCGTATTACTCGTTTTCTACCACTTTTTGTCGCATGCGCGTTTCAACAAGAAGGCAGAGAACGGCTTTGACGGGGTGACACACTCATACTGGCTGACACGCCCAACCGTCCGCAGCGAACTCGAGTGTATGCCTTTTCCAAAATGCTCAAAAACCCCCTCAAGTTTAGATACATCACGGGGGCACATAATAGCAGTCTCAAAGCCTCTAGCAAAAGAGCTACATGGAATATTTACATTCGTAAAGAAACATTTCATTAACTACTGCAGAATTGTGGAAGATAGAAGTAAAACTATCAAGACATACTTGGTCCATCAAGTGATATAAACATTGCTCATGAGCTTGGATACTTGTCTCGCAATAATCTGAAGGTTTACACAGCATATTTCACAGACATGTTTACAAATTAGAACATAAATTAATATTGCAAAATATAAACGAACTTTTGAAAATGTGCTTTAACAATGCAAATAAAACTGGGATAGCTTATAATGGCTATAAAGTCTTTTACACGGACTTTAAAGACATTAAAGATAAATACAGATACTATAAAATAGATGATTTGCTATATTTAATAGAATACTTGTTATGCAACAGTTATTGTGTATTCAGCTCACATATATTCGAACAAACTAAAGGAGTGCCTTGGAGTTGCCCGTGGTAATTTTAGCCTTTTGTTGGCAGATCTCACGTTATATATGATGGAATATTTCTGCGCAAAAATCAATAAAAAGATAAAGATAAATTTTATTTGTCCCTTACAGATGCATGGATGACTTGTTAGTTATTCATAACCAAACTGAACAAGAAGTTGACAGAAAATTGGAAGAGGTGTACCATAACGTCTTGGAGATGAAGAAAACACATTTTACGGACACCTTTAGTCACTATTTGGATATGAATATCGAAATAAAAAATGATAGAAATTTACACTAAGCTATATAATGAAACTGTTGACTTTGATTTCAAAGTAATTAGATTACCACAGATTCCCTAGATTCCCTAGTCACTGAAGAGTTTCAGGGAGAGACGAAAAAAGTGGTTCGCCTGATTGAGAGGCGAAACGGACCACCTCTCTTCTCTTTTCTTCAAGCAATTAGCCATCATCAACTCCTTGACTTCATTGTCTTGTGGAACGGCGTCACCCAACGCTGTCCGACAGTTATTATATAACTCAAAATCTGCGCGATTGTTTCACTTTCTTTTCATAAAATTAGTTTGAGAACAACATTTTCGGGCCGAGGGGATGCGATACTGTTCTTTAGAAGATGAAATTACCCGGGGAAACAAATGTTCAGTCAAAGCTGTCTCCAGTGGACTATGCTGGTAAAAAATGGGCTGATTTTAGAAGATTGGAGCAATGAAATGAATTGTATCAAAGGTTCGAGATTGGTATACTCGTCTCTTGCATTTCATACATTTTGATCGTAGTAATTCATTTATTTGGAAATTACTAAGTTTCAGTGTAGAAAAATGTGCCGTCCCACGCGCAAGTCATGGAAAAAATGGCTCGTCGTCAACGTCTCAGAGCAGAAGCTAACTTTCAGCCCCTCTCAGTCGCTACCACTTTCTGTCACCGATCGTCAATGTCACCGTGTCACTCACCCTCTAAAGGGAGACTCAGCTACGATAAGCTGGCTCCGCCTTCGCAAGCTGTTTCCTCCTCGACCGACTTTTTCGTCA